ACCACCTCTTTCAACAAACCTTATGTAATCGTCAACTGATATTTGATTTCTTATAACAGATTTTTTTATACCTTTTGCCTTTTTCATTTCATCTAATACACTTTGAATATGATAAGCTTTGGCACCTGTGCCGTGAAAACAAATGATGATATCATTCGGGAGTTCATCCTTCATCTTTCCTAGCATCGATTTTCTTACTGGCACATTGACTCCATCAAATAATTGCAAGTGTCAAATTCATCAAAGTTCTCAGTCATGTAATCATACAAGTTATCAGTCATTATTTTCAATATCAAAGAATCCGTATCGGTATAGAGGAGAGAAGCTTGGGATCCGTAATGCATTTTGATGACGTCATAGAAAAAGTCGTAGGTACAACGGTTTATTGTAGCAAACCCTAACTCTACCCATATGAATAGCGACGAAGTCTTCCGAAAATATGAATAGTGTTTTGAAATTGGGACGATCTATAAGAGCGTTGGCACCCATACTTCTTCTGATAGATTCCCAATGTGTAACAAGCCGAATGTCTCTTCTATTGTCAACATTCTCCATTGTTTTACCATACATGGAATTCACGTTCAGTTTGAAATAGTTCTTCTCAAACTTATTTTCAGCATTATTTCTCAGAGTCGTATTCAAGTCGATATATTTTTTCAACCTTGGTGATTGATTGAATCTGAGAATTCTATGAGTTCTCATCATCTTCAAACCATTACGAACCGCCTGTTTGAAATTTCTATAGTGAACAATATATTTTTTTTCATCATTCAAATTTGGTATTAGTTTGAGAATTTTAGACTTCGAACCAGGTGGTATAATATTTTACACCAAAATGGTAGATCTGAATGTAAATCGTGCAATTCTGTAGGATAGTGCACATCTACTTCAAGAATGTATCCTTGAGGGCCATCATCCGGGACGCTATTTATTTCTAGTTGAGTTATTTCATCGGTGGTCAACCAAGTTTATCCACCAACAGGTAGCGATTGACACATACTATGGCCATACAGATTGGTTGCATCCATGTACATGATGAATGATGAAGGTTCGTCGGGATTATAATTTGGAAGAAATTGATTATTTGCAATATGCTTCCTTTCCGAACATTGGCTAACCCCACCACGCATACAATTTTGGAAAAAATAACCGATATCAGTTAGTAATTCCCACTGTAAACTTTAACATAGCATCCCAAGATATACCATATAATCCCATCCCATCCCAAGATAATTTCATATTTCTGAAATTTTCAAAAATATCACACAACAACAGAACATCAGATTTCAAGTAAATGTCGGAACATTCACCTATATAACGACAATCGAACATGTCTCATACCTGTTTCACTCTATCATAATCCACGTCAGAAATATTCTTTTCATTCAGTTTATCATAAAACTCCACCTTCGATGGTATACTTGAATAACTCAATTTTTCCAAACAATCGATGAAGTTATACGGAAAAATACCTTTCTGTCTCATTAGCTGAAATTTATGATCTTCTGGAAAATATTTTCTGGTCACAACAAAATATTTTTCATCCTAATTATCGCCCAACTCTTGTAGAGATGCAGCCAAAAATTTGAAACTATCCACAAATCTCAACTTCAAATAATTTTTTCAATTTGCCCATTTCGATACAATATATTTTTCATGAATAGGTGTTTCGTGAAAGAAACATATTTCTCTTCAGTTTGAGCGATGACATCAACTTTTTTTTCATTAGTACATAACTCTTTTATGAATACGTGACAGCCATACCCGCCGAGATTACGGAAAATAATTGGAATGAAATCGGGCAATTTGATATTGAGATTACTAATGGAATGATGATGCTGCTGTACATTCAGCTGATCACTTGAAATTGTCAAATTGCAGCACTGGCAAGTCTGCATTGGTTGAGATGTTGGGGAATTCAACCTAAGCATCTTCGAGGTTGGTGCTTCTCGATCATTCTCAGTTGATGGTCCTCTAAAATTCATCAATGTACAGGACTCGCGCTGATGACGACGCAGGTTGTCATTACGTGTGAAACTTTTCCTACAGTCACTGCACATATACATTTTGTTTGAAATTATATAACCGCAAGATTATGAGGAGAATGTGAACTGAGTGAAACATTCACACCACACTCCTAATAAAAGTACATTCCTTCACTCCGACTAGATGAAAATGACGGAGTCGAATCTTAAACTACATGTTCAAGGTCATTTGACATGTACATATTTTGAAGTCGTGGGACACTCCAAGGTCGAACCTCAAGTCTACGTACCAGGAGTAGTCTGAATTCTCGAGGTCAATCAAAGCACAAGTATAAGGTCATGTGTCGAGGACAAGATGGATAAGGTCGAAATCATATGACGTGATATCAATCAATGTCGAATATCGAGATCACGTATCGAGCAAGGTTGAATCTCAAGGTTGAACCGCATGTTTTATGCAAGGTCAAACATAGAAGTCACGTATCGAGCAATGTTGAATCTCAAGGTCAAACCCCATGTCCGATGACAAATTGAACGTGTATAGATCAAGGTGGTGAGGTATCTTTCGAGGTTAGACTTCAAAGTCACCAACTGGGGGTAGACCAAAATCTCAAGGTCAACACCCATGTTCGAGGTCCTATCGTCTGACACGTACCTCTAGGTCATATGGCGCCATTCAAGGTCGAGGTCAATTGGTGAGGAGAGTTCCTCATGCGGTCTTAGCATTCTACTCATGTTGAAGGCCTAGGAACTGAAAAAATATATGCATGATTTACGTTATTCGAAGACGAGACGTTCAATTAATTGTTAAACAACCCTTTTGGCGCCGAAAACATGTACTTTCCAATGAAGGTAAAACTTTTGCTGCGAAGCTAGTTCCAGAATCTATAGGTCTCTGAAGAGGTGTCCCCTCGTCACGGAGGAACATGTCATTGTGAAGACATGCTGGGCAGTCATCCGAACAGTGATCAGTGTTCACTTGGAGCTGAACAAAACGATAACACAGCCAGTGACGAGACTTGGGGATCAGGGAGATTACGACCCCGTTCTCGAATCATGTAATTTCAGTTCCAAGTTGTTCTTCGAAATTACTTCAAAGCAGAAGCCAAAAACGTCGAAGAGATGAAAATTACAAGCACGTTCAAGCTGGACGACAGTACATCAAATTATTGGCAACCTATCCGAACATTGGGAACAATAATTTTTTTCTTTTGTTATATTGCAGAGTCAGTTTTATGTGCTGCTCTTGCTATATATGTTTTAAATGCGATAATTTGTACCTTCAGGGAAGAAATAACAATATTCACCTTGGATTTCACCGCATTTTGTAGGCCAGACGGGTCAATAAGAATTCAGTTACCCAAAAAGTTTTTGGATTTCCAGCATAACCTTGGTATACTACTTGTAGCCCTCGAAAACAATGTCAGGCCTATTTTGGCTAACGGATGATGGATAGGAAGCGCAATCAACCATTTTGATACATGTATGATTCCTAACCATGTGAAGGTTTACCTTTCTTTCCAACTGTGAATCAACAAATTTCAAAAAATTCTTATTTTAGAGAATTTTATGAAATCAATTTTTCAACCAAAACTCTTGAAAAACAAAAATTCTCATCATGCAATGTATGCAAAATGTACCTACATGATCACAATCTCCTTCTACCTTCAAAGAAACATCAGATGAATATTAAGTATTTCACTTACGTTTCATCTTATTTACTCAATTATACGGAATACTTACTTGTATTGTAGATTCTAATGAGGGTATCTGAAGATAAATGCGAAAATGAGTCGGAAGATGACAGAGATTGGAATGACAATGATTGATTATTTGATTTTTTTTCGCTAAGTTGAAATTTTCAATAGTATCACTGAAATTACAATACATTTCAGAAATATAGTTATGATGTAAAACTATTTCAAATTTATTTCAAATGAAATCGAGCAATGTTATAATAATGTTCACTATTCATTCGAAATGACAATAATAATATAGGGGTACTTTTTTTTTCGAAAATTTATTTTTTACTATCAGATCCACCAAGTGATTTTGTGGGACAACCATATAATCGTTCACGAATCAAACCAATCAAAATCAATCAAGTCGTCGATTTGTTGTATTAATATTCTTTTCCAAAAAAAAATTAGTGATTGAAATGAAAAATTGTGACGAAGTTATAATTTTTTTTGTGACTCTTATGGACAAGAGTTTGAAACGATTACATAAAAGAAACGTTTCGCTATCGATATTTTCTGTGGAGTGAAATTTCCAAATACTGAGAATTATATAATCACGTAGTTTCAGCATGCAATGCTGATACTTAAAATGAATTCATCCAACGGAAATTCAAGGGCATGAAGAAACAATAATGGAAAGGTTATTTAGTTTTATGGACGCGTCTTTTTTCCCAAAGCTGTTGCCCCAGTTACAATATTTAAAAATTCTTTCTTATTGCAAATCTACAATATAAAAAGAACCTACATACAAAACTTCAGCCTCAAAACATATAGCGGTACGGGAAAACAGTGATGGGAAGCTAATTTTCATATGTAAACGCGCCCCTTTTCTTCTCCAGTGGTGGCGCTTCAATCGAAATATTTGAAAATTTTTCTTTATTGCACATCTACTACATAAAGCGAATCTCATTCAAAATTTCAGCTTCTGAAACAGAACGGAGAAACAGTGAAAAAAAGATAATTTCCATATATAAACGCGCCTCCTTCATCCCCAGGATGGAAGCCCTAGTTGGAATATTCAAAAATTTCCTCTCATTACACATCTAGAATATGAAATGAACCTTCATACAAAATTTCAGCCTACGAATATATAGCGGTACAGAGAAACAGTAATGAAAATTAATTTTCATAAGAAAACGTGGCCTTTTTAGCCCGACGGAGGCTCTTCAGTTGGATTTTTTGAAAATTCTTTTTCAGTGCGTATCTGAGACCTAAAAAGCACCTATATGCCAAATTTTACCTTTCTACGACTCAACAGTACGGAGAAAGAGAGATGAATTTGTAAGTATAAATATTATTTTAGGATTGTGCCCATAGTTTTAATGTTATTAAGTACAATTGTCATTAACGATCATTGTGGGAAGGAGTGTTTGACCGTGTATTTGTTAAACCCTTCAACTACGCGGTTCCTTCAATATCCGCTTGCAAGTGTCATTTTTTTCAATAACTAATTTTGGACCCAAAATCAACCTGGAAAATCTTGCACAGAATCCAATCGGAAGATTATCGTTTGCCAATCTCCTCTTATTTGATCTTTCTGGCATGAGATCGTCCAATAATTGTAGTTCCTGTCTGGTGAAAATACAGTCGAGGAATTTTCTGATGACGATCATCACCACCAACATGACCGGAAACAGAATTGATATTTGACTGAATGATTGTACCACCCACAGAGAAATCAAACATGCGAGTTGAATTATGGTAAAAAGGTGGACCCTCTTGAGTGGCACCTGAAAAAATATGGAGTTGTTATTACCGGGTGTTAGTTGAAACCTAGATTTTATCAATTGATTGAAGCATTACAATTCAAATAATTTGGTGAATGTGAATGATTTTCAAAATATCCATGAAAATTTCAAAACGAAAAATGAAATCGATTGAATCAAATATAATATTGTATAGGTTGGTTATGTTGAAATAATTCCGTGATAATGATTCCTTATTTTGACCAATATTTTCAGTGAATTGTCAGTTTTGGATCAGAAATTCTGCCACACTCTTACCATCTTTTGTGAATTGTATTGATTCATCCGGGACAATGAAACCTAAAAATATTGTGTATAAATCTAGTGCAGATGAAGTGGAAATCGCACGAGAGAAGTGAAAGTGAAATACGAAAAAGGTTTTCAAAACTGCTCTTACACTTCAATAAGTGTTGAGCGACTCGACAAAGAAGACGACGAAAAAAGGAAATATTCATTAAATAAGCTACGATAGCTCGCTACAAGGAACATGTTCCACTTATTAGGTTTCATACACTGAAGAAGTCCAGTGTTGTTCAACAAGACATAGAGAGAGGCCACATAATAAGTGAGGAACGGTTGACTGGTGCATGACAACAAATTTGTAGATGCCTTCGAAAGTTTAGAAATCAAAAAATGATGAATGAGTTCTATAAACGGTGGCAAAGTTCCTACACCTAACAGCCTTTTTCCCGCCTTCTAACGTAAACACAGTCAGAAAATAGATGAGGAATAGATGTCAGTCGTGTATCAAAGAACATTATTCAGCATCTCACATAATGATGTACGTTATGATAATCATTATGTGAGGGGATGAATCGTATTGATAGGTATAAATCATTAGTATTGTTCTTAGAAGTTGAACTCTCTTTCATTTCCTGATGATGCTACCTTGGTTCACAAAACGTGCGTCGAGAGACAGTATTTTTGTACTGGTGAAGACAAAGTGTTTTCAATAGAACACATTGGCCGATATCGGGGTAGTACTCGTCAGTGCAGCAAATATAATTCAACCCAATCATCAATTAGAGTAGATAAATATTCTGAATTCAACTCAAAATATTTCTCTTCCTAGTTTGTTGTACTTCCTCTCAATACAGTTTTTGAATTCAATCTAATCTACGTTAGATTAAATTGTATTCAGTCGTGCTACAAAGGAATTCTTCGAATGGGTTGGACGAGTGTGCGAGTAGTAACGAACTGCCCTGGCTCCGCACGTGTATAATGCTGATACTATATATAAATTCACAAACCCGAAAATTAAGGCCATGGAGAAAAATTGATGGAAATATAATATTTTGTATTATATACGCGCATTTTTCCACCATGGTCGGCGCCCCGATTTTTTTTTGCAAACCTATTACATAAAACGAACGAACATACAAAATTTCAGCCTCCAAAAATATAGCGGTACGTAGAAACAGTGATGAAAAGGTGAATTTCATATATAAACGCGCCCTTTTCATCCCCAGAAGAGGAATATTTGAAAATCTTGTCCTACTGCACATTTACAACATGGAATGAACCTACCAAAAATGTCAGCCTTCGAAAATGTTACAGTACGAAAAAAGAGTGATGAAAAATTATTTTCATATGTGAACGCGCCTGTTCAACCCCTTCCTCGCTCTTACTACTACGGAGAAACAGAAATGAATGGGTGTCAACGGACTTTCCTATTTATAACATATAACATTTATAAACATGCAGAAGTGTCTGTCGGAATAATTCAAAATTTGACATGTTATTAGCCAGAGGAATATTTGTTTTTTGATAGGCGTATGCCCCATTGTGCAAGTATATGAACCATAATATGATGTAAACGAATATGATATAAATTAAACTTTATGATGAATGACCTAATATCGGAACTGCCTTCTTGTATCATCTAGACTTACACATAAACGTTGCTGAAGAAATAATTTCAACGGGTTATTGAACATTGTGATCATTATTTCATCGCATTCTTTGTCGAAAAATTCAAATCCTGAAATGAATGACTTGAACGGTTTGAAAAAGAAGGTAGTCCCAAAGAGCCAACAAAACTGAAGTTGTGGGACGTATTATCATTATTTCATGACACGCTCCCTTCCAAAAATAACAAAAATATATGATATGAGGAACTCACAAGAGAGAAATTCGTCTGGAATGGCCGAATTCAGTAAACATAATGTGGCTCGAACATTCTGTCAATAACTGAGTGAATAGCTCAAAAATATTTTTTACAGTTTTCATCGAGCCATTTGATTATCCGCAACGGCCTCGAATATTATGTGGAATGTCCGAGTATACTCTCAGAACTGTCATCGAAAAACTACATTTCACAAAACACAAATATCAAGATACTTGTATGCAACCAACCAAAATAAACTAGATTGGAACGAACATATCAAAAAACATGCAATTATTATAGCTGACAAAGTACATACAACTCATCAAAACATTTTATTCAAATTGTTGAATTGGTTTTAACTGGATTCACGAAATTGATTTTTGTTGAATTATTTTTGCAGAATTCATTGGACATCATTTATGACGTTCCCATCGGCAACTTTTGATTTTGCTTTCATTTTTACCCCTCTTACCTTTACCCCTTTTGTGGCATAAACCTTACCTTTCTGAGAAACATATAATCCGGTTGATATTTATTCGACATAAACATAATCAAAATCCTATCAAAAAATTCCAGTCCTTTCAAAGATGATATTCCCATATATAAAAAGACCCCAAATAATACTGGCAATGGTATGTGTCCTAATATCGGTGTCAGAAACACCGACAAACCGATTGTGAGAAAGATCATAATATGCGTGACTCTTTGTTCTCTAACTCCCAAAAATTTTGGTTTATCTCCTGGGGCGGTACACTCGGACTCTTGTTTCAACGAATGCACATGAGTTATTGACAGCACGGTAGCGGCAACAAACCAAGGAAGACCAAAGATGGAACATATTTCTATTAGTATTGATAGAACAAAAAGGTCCAAATGGTATCCACAACCTAAAACAAAATGAACTATCATGAATATGTGTTATATCGTGTTATAATTTTTCAAATATCATGTTTCTATCGTGTACATTATGAATATATCTCTCATAATCAGGATTCATGTCAAAATAAATCCAAAATTCGAACAGAGAATGAAGTTACACATGAAATATGGTGAAGTTCTTCTTAGTAAAACTCATGAAACCCATTCATCTCCAGTTCCAAATACAGAGGTACTATACAGGGTGTTTATTGAACATGCGGCAAAAATTTAAGGAACTATTCCTTGGAATATTCTAAGGATATTTTGCAAGAATAAATTACCCCGATAAGTTACTACGTAAAATCAAAGTATTCTTCACAAAAAAAATGTTCCATTTATCAGTAACTTGTCGTGTTTAACAATTTTGCCTATCAAAAAAAGGCTAAGAAATAATACAATACTCATCTTTACGTTTCGGAGGCCAAAATCTGCCTCCGTATTCATAAATTACCAAAAATATTCTAAGATATTTGCAGTTATTCTTTTTTAATTATTCATTTCTCAACTTCTTCGACAGATGTCAAAGGAGTTTTGACATATGAAATGATGTCAATGTTGTTGATTGACAATTGAAACATTCGATGTGATAAAAGGTACTTTCCCATATCAGTCTTTTGACATTTCGTCACTATCCAAATTTTTCTTCAAGATACACATTGAAAAAAATAAAAATAAAAAATATTGCAACAAAAAATTTCCGAGACAACACCATCACAAAGTGAGAGGTGATTGATAAAAAGTATCATCATTTGAAATACAATTATTGAAGACGCTTTCATTATTATTCCAGTTAACATAATTGTTGATTCTGACCAATTTTGCAAAATTTTCGTTTGGTTTTTGTTTTTGTTTTTGAAGTGGTTGCTTCGTAGGCGAAAAATTTTTCGATGGCCTGAAAGTAAGAACTTTCAGCCGGTTTTCACCTGTGAGGATTCATATTCCATTCCAATCAGGCGGTTCATTCATCAGTTCATGAAGGAAATTATAATTTGTATATATAGTTTTTCCACAAGTGCAGTATTAAATGATGAAATGCTGACTTCAGGTTATTGCCTACCTTCATGGGAACAAAAATTATCAAACAATGTGTGTGAATGCTCAATTCCCTACTACGAAATCTCAACAATACTGCTCGTTTATTTCATACCTAATTCAACATTATTGCATTTTGAGTATAATTTGAAGTGACCCACATCTTTTCAATTTCGAAGGTTCAATGAAATTGATTGCTCCTATACTGATTGAAGCTGACATTCTGAAATTTCTTCTAGGGTATTACACGGCCATGTTGTGTGCAAGAGAGGTGACAGTTCTCAGGAGTTCTCTTACATTTTGAGAAAATTTCAAATTTATCTATATCGACGAAACTTCAATTTTATTTTATATAATTTCCCAGAATGATCGTGACATCAAATGGTGATATTTACCAAAGAAACTATTATTACCTTTCCTCAGTTTGAACTCTTTTCTGTTCACTATCACAACAGTAATCTGCTGATCCATGAATATCAAGATCGTCCCAAGTAGTGCTGGGGCAATTGCAAGTGGTATGGCATAGTAAGGGTTTTTTTTGAAAGGAGGAACGATCCAGCCTCTATTCGGTAAAGTTGGCTTGAATTCATATGGAACTTCCAGTTTTGGGGTCGGTATACTGACATTGAAGTCCAAAATTGTCATGATAAGGATTGCTATCAAAACAGAAAAGTCACTGATGAATAGTCGAATCTGAAAAAAAATATGATATTTGGTTTCACAAGAAGGGTTACTTGGGTAACATCATCAACTTTTTTAACAATTGTTCCTTGTCAACGATCCGACTTTCAATTCTCCTTCAAGGCTCTGAAACAATGAATTTTCATAGACATATCTACCACAGAGGTGGTAGGTTTGTTTATACATTTACTCAGGCTGATTCACGGTGGATGGCACATTAGACGTTTCTGGTGAACCAGACAACGGATCACTTTGAAGATTTAATGGAGGGCATATTCGGACATTCTATAGCCAACTAAAATATTTTCGATAATGCGGTGTTGCCGCTTCTATTAGAAAGCAGTAGCCACTTTGATTTTTCAAATGGAACACTCTGTATATAATATTATTTTTGGAATCTCCAACAATTGCCCGACAACTTTTCTTGATATTTCCCTATACCTATCTGTTACCGTTTTCGAAATAAAAATTAATTTCAATTTTTTTCTTCGAAAATCATGACTTCTAAAAATGCCGATATCTTTTAGTTAAGAAGTACTATGATATCGAAATTTGGTTTGGAGTTAGGTGATACTTGGACACTTCCCACACGTCAGCCTAATCTCCG